GTGTGTGTGTGCGTGCGCGCTTCGTAGGCCCGAGATAAAACCTGTCAAACAGTGGAGGTGACCCCAGCAGGATACGGGGCATCCCGCGCGTGTCGGGACAGGACCTCGGGGCAGCCCAGCAACTCCGTGATTTACTCTTCAAAGACAAGCTCATGATAGCATTTCATGTGCATCTTAACCCTCTTCAACCCACTAACAGGCTGTATACATTAAGGTGCCACAGTTGAGTGTTGCACAGCAGCTCAAATAAACAGGCTGCATAGGCGACGCTTTGTGATGCTGTTGTCCACATCAATTCACATGTCTAAATAGTGGTAGTTTACCTCGGGGTTTACTACTGTCATCACAAACCCTCTGTGGAACAATGCCACGCTATGGAGATAAAAGATTTAAAAAATTGACAAGCAGACCAGAATAGTAGGATATTCATTCACAGTTGGCAAGTCATGTTTAAACAACCCTTTCTTGGGAGAGAAATAGACTTTTCTGAAACACTAGAAGGCTTTTGTTGGTGACAGAGAACGATCCAACCAACATGACAGGAAACACTTGTAGCCATAAAAGAGCAGGACATGAGGAGATAATCACTGGCCCTGCTACAGTTCACTAATGAGCTGCTCTGACAAAATACAATCAAATTCCTTTATTAGTACAACAAAATGAAATAGCAATCCTGGCGGTGCATTCACACATATCAAACCGTTCAAAATATAGTACAAAAGAAAAAATGTATTTGCTGTTACTAAAAAGCAGTAAGATAGTTGAGATATTGCACTTTTGTTTGCTTGTATTGGCTCTAAATACGTAATGTATAAAGTAATGAATAAATACCTGAATAATAATGTACAAAGGAATATACTACAGTGTGGTTGAGATGTAAAACATCTGCAGTGTGCAATACACACAAAGGTTGGAATAGTAAAACTATGGTCTGTAGCCGCTGAATGGTCGTCAGTATTTTTTATTGTGAGCGTCTCTTATCTGGCTGACCTTGACGCTACTCTTCAGCTGCAGGTGAAGATTGGGGCTCGACAGGAAGTAACTTATTCTCTAAAATGAATCTGCCAGCTACAGAGGAACATTTGACAACCCCTTTAGGCTTTCCCCCCCGTACATTAACCAGCTGTGTTCAAGGTCCCGAGACACTAATTAATGTACTCTTCCTCATGTCTACAGGCCTGATAAAAGGGAACTACATTTGTGTCTGCTTGAGATTTGCAGGAGCAGTTTCTCCTCTCCAGTACCACCGCCAAGTCCAACTGCATTTTGTCCACAGGGGCTGCAATTTGAGATGCATTCTTTGCTAGCGGCTTGGCATCTCCTTTGTCTAATCTGAAGCCAGGCGTCTCTCTCTCTCTCTCTCTCTCTCTCTCTCTCTCTCTCTCTCTCTCTGGGAGCCAGCAGTAGTTTGTGTCTCACCCTCTGCATGGGGCTTATGTCTGGGCAACTACAGGTCTTAATCCACTGTCCAGCCACTGCCCAGGAGGGGGCACAGATAGCTCGGTAAGACGAGGGGACACAGTCGAGATTAGGGCGAAAGAAATGGACGGGAATCTATTGATTGGTGATAACCAGGTCTATTGGTCCCACCTCCGGATCCTGTAGGCAAAATAATTCATGCTACAAATAATTGTGACTACGAGCAGTAAATCACTTAATAGTTTGTAACAGTTGCTTGGCTCTGTGTCATTATGCGTGCAGCTAGAGTGTTTTCCTCCTACAACATTCAAGACCACTAGAACAGTCTTGTCACAATCTTCTATTTAAATAATGTCGCCCACTAATGTGGAAGTCATTTAAAAATTGCTGTCTATTTTTTTGTTGTTGTTGGCCATACTATCACTGCTGTTTCCCCCGTTGCTTTCACTCGATAGCAAAGTTTCACTGAAATAATTCGATTTTGCATCTGGCCATCCTGATAAGGTGCTCTGCAGGAAGTTGTAGTGCGCAATGAGTTTCCTGTGAGCTGCAAGGTTCTGAAGGACCAAAGTTCAATAGGAAGCGGAGAAAGGAAAAGGATGCAGATCATATCACTCCAAGAATGAGGATATGGTCAATGAAGCCACTGAAAACATGCCTACCACGGGACGGCTTCCAGACAGGTTGTTTACATCTGTGTTTGTGTTGCTGATGGAGTTTTCTCCAAAGCTCGGTCGTTTTCTTGTCACTCAATTTGCACTGTTGTTGTCTCTGAAAGTCCTTTTTTACAGAATTTGTAGGCCATTACATTCTTGGACACTTGAGACCATTTGGAGTTTCCAGGCTCTTCGTCGCCCCCTCATTAGTTTTAGGATTGTATCTCTTTCTTCTTCAGCTTTCAGACCTAGCTTTGGATATAATGAGGCAGGCAGTGCACTGCTAGAGAGGACTGGCTATTGGGTGATTAGACGCCCTCATTGAGTGTTGTTTGAAATAGCAAACCGGTGTTTTTTTTAGTGGGGGAGCGGCATCACTCGGGCCTCATTCAGACTGGGAACCACCGCTGCCGTAGGGGGAGGAGCGCTTTCACACACAGCGATACTTTGCTGATCGAGTAACAAAGAGACCCATCAAACACCAGGAGGCCACATAAAGTCGCACACTGTGACTTTCCCGCTTCCAACTGCTGCCAAGTCCATCGGACACCTCTTAGCACCCCTGCTCTTCCTTTCCTCTACGATCCCCTTCAGGCTCTTCCTCTTTTGTGGCGACCAATAAAGCATTACCATTCCCTAATGTTCTGCTAAATTTCACACCCAGGCCGATGTTATCCATGAGCATGCGAGAGAGAGAGAGAGCCTTGTACCGGGGGATGCAATCTTCATCTTTCATGTTGCCCTCTTATCTGCACCCTTTCACGCGTCAGCATCCGAGCCTCGTACCCTCTCTCCATGTGTGCCTGCACAGTAGTTGCCGGCTACTGCAGTGTGCTCTTTAGATAGAGACGCTACTTTTCGTTACCTCCGTTATGGAGACAGATTGCTCCAAAGCAACCAATAAACATATTATGCAGTTATGAGCATAGGTAGTGGAATAATCAGTATGAGGTCAAGATATAAAACCAAATTCATACAAGATAACAATTTGTGACCACGGTCCAATGCCACCATGAAAGTCTCTGACCATTGTCCCCACAGGTTTTATAAGATGTTTTCCTGTGATTGTTTTATTGTTTATTTAAGGTTGATACATATGTGGCATTTGTAGCAATCTCAATTCCAGCAGTAGTCGTACAGCTGCAGCTTTTCGTAACTAAGTCCCTATTAGTGTTCATTCTTTTGATTTGATTGAAAACTACCATTGTAATCACCCCAGTGATGTTACAGTCGGTACTGAACAGGTCCAGGAGTGGACAGTCTAATTTATAACGGGGGACATTTGGGTGGTTGAGGGTATTCTGATAAAGGCCCATGCTGCGAGCCCCGGTGGATCACCTCCTGGGGGGGCAGGGTGGCGTAATGACTTCCCCAGCTGGCCCCCTGGGACGACTGCGCTCGTGCTCCGCACCTCTCCTGGCTGCTTTAAGCCACTACAGTGTTTGTTTAGGGAAGATTAGCAACGTAAAACCCTTACAACATCCTGAACACGCAGCGAAGGGAGACGCAACGGAGAGGACGGCGGGAAAGAGGAGTAGAGATTGATGGGCGGAGGAGAGACGACAGATCTTCTGTTCAGCGAGACGCTGGTGTGGGTCGAGAATGCAAGTGAAAGAGAGAAAGAGACTGAGGGAAAAGGGAGGTATAATACATGTAATCCAAAGCAATTTAAAACAAGCGGTTTCTGCTCCAACAGCACTGTAATGGTGTCCTACGGTCTTTGTTTGGACACATGCTAGTCACTGGCCGGTCCATGCGTAGCAGAAAGCATCTTTCAAAGCTGTTCTTAAGGACCAAACCTGGCAACCAAATCCCTCAGTTATTCTCCATGATGGATATTAATAGACTCTAAACTGCTTGCAGAATGCACCTGTCTGGCTGAAGCTGTCCTCTGGGTAGTGTAAATTGTGAAGTGCTGTTTCTATCCACTAATCTGAACAGGTCTCCTGGTGCGCTGTGGATACAAAGCAATGATGTGCGTCTAGTACATTTACAGGAATATACTTTCTGCCTGTGGGAATAAATCTTCCTTAAGATGTTAGCTGGACTCCCACAGGCTGTTACTTTGCGTTGTGCTTTTCTACGGTATCCTTCCAAGTTGCCATGTTTTGTATTTGAATTGATTGATGCCAAAGCGTTGACTGAAGAGAGTTGTAAAACCACTCAGCTTTCTTAGCCATGGTGCACCAGGTGTGTCACAGGTGTGTGTGTGTGTGTGTGTGTTTAGCCGTGGCAGGAAACAGATGTGCAGTGATATCAACGGCTTTACAGGTCTGGGAGATTATCAGCATGGGCCAGCCTGCCGTCTCACTGCAGTGAGACACTTCCTGTGGGCTTAAATCATGCCAGCCCATGATTTAAAAAAAAAAAAAAAAAAAAAAAAAAGAGCAGAGCGCTGTGTTAACAGCACTGGGATTAATCGGTGGCTCCCTGATTATGACCCCTAGTGATGAAAGAAAGATGGCAAGAGGGTGGATGACAAGCTAAATAACTGGGGGTCTGTTGGTAAGTAATTGTTGGGAATTCTAGGAATGACTTGAGGGAAGAAACAATAAAGTTGGCCCCTTCAACAGTTGAGTAGGAAATACAACCTTGGCAATCTGTGGGGCTCATGCTCGTGATAACAGACAGGAAGTTTAAGGAGTTATTGTTGTCCTCCTGGAGAGGTTTGAAGCTTTGACCACTTGCAAGTTTAAAAACAACAACCTTTTTTTCATTCTCTTTACAGCCCCTGTCCAGAGCAAGGAATGGGTGACGAATTTAACCTCATGGATCATTCAGACCTGTATATCTTAGACTTCAGTAAGTATTCTTGGTATTATCCATGTCTCACTTGTTAGCTTAAGAAGGTGTGTAATATTCCAGATGCTGATATTTAGTTAGATTCATAAATACCCACACGACCCCAGGTTGCCATTGTAAATACGGAAGTCTTTTCAGCAGAGATGCACCGCTCGAAACCGTGACCGGCCGATCTGTTTCTGCTTTTTTGCCGGTCACATTGATAGTTCTATGTCGGCACAGCCACACACACTTTGTCACAACTGCAAGTCCGACGTAAGGCTTCGAGGAACAACCTCAAAACGTTTGGAACAACTAACTTAATCAGACACTTTTTTTAATCTTGTCATTCATTCCCCCACTCCTCACTGTCTGCTGAGTCTCTCCGTAGCATAGTCCTGCTTCTAACGGATCTAAATGTGTTCAAATGTCATCTTGTAAAATGTAGTTTTTGGCGAGAAACTTGAATACATACAGTTGTATTGTTGTAGCAATATAGATGATAATAACAAAGTAAAAAGATAACATTTTAGATATTTTTTCACAGTTTACACTGACTTTAGGACGGTTGAAATTATTTTACAGGATGGTGGTTTAAAAAAAAAAAAAAAAAGTCTTGCTATCAAATGTAGTTAAAAATAAATAAAATCTTAATTGGCACGTCAGACTTTAAAAAGAATCGTAAATCAACCAAGAAATTTGCAATCGGTGCATCTCTAATTTTCCGCCACCTTTTTAAATAATGTTAAAAAAAGCACATTTAATAGAACCAATACCTTCCTTCCACCACTGCTTCATCTCTCACCTGGCCTAGTATGCCTGGCCTTGGCCCTGCTTCGTGCTATCACACGGAATACTTCCGTCTCTTGCGCCACCAAATATGGCCATTTCCTCCCTGCACTGGGGTAGCCTGCAATGCTGTCAGGTCCCAGCGTGTGTAGGTGGGTTTCCACAGGGACACAGAGACCCGTATGGGACTGGCAGTACTCGGCGGCATCCCCTGTGGCACACACTTCTACGTGCCAGTCGCGTGTGCCTGCACACTGTTTATCACTGGACATATGGTGGAGCAGCCATGACGGGGACCATAATTGAGCGGACGTTTGTAATAAGATGATTTGTGCACTAAGAGTGATTTCACACTGAACACTGTTTGTTTCAGCTGCTTTTCTGTGCTTTGGGAGAAACACACCTGTGACTCATTACACTCTTCTTTTCAGGCCCTAATTTGAAGACGTTATGCAAAATGGCTGTTATTCAATACAGTCTGGAGCAGTCAGGACTCCCACATGATATCAGGTCAGACCAGCATCCTCTTCTCAAACATTAGCGCTGTTCGCTCGTAGCATCGGCATATTGTTGATCATGCGGTTTGTCATTGTTGCCGCCACTCTGTCCCTCTCAATAATGAGGCTGTTTTTCAAAGAGGCAAATTACGGCTCATTATCCTTCATTCAACCAGTGGTACATTTTACTCGGGCTTTTGTCTGACTTTACTTCAAATCCCTACATTCAACTTGTTTATGTAATTGCATCATCCTACGACTAATAGCACTAATAGCCCCCAAATATATAGAACCAAAATTATATGCTTCAACGATGCACTGCAGTCCGGAATAGTCATTAATAAATATCATAAATTAACAAATTACCATTATTTCTTACAGCAGACTGTTTCTTGAACCATTATGGCTTTATTCTCATTAAATTACCAATGTATTATCGTAATATTACAGCTTGGAAAAAAGTTTCTACTACTTCCTTTTCTTTTGGAAAAATCCCCAAAAGATTGTGTTTTATTAACCTTTTTGTCGGGCTTCATGGAGGCTTACATGACGACAAAATGACCTTCTTATGCCAGTGCATGGAACCACAGTAACTCTCTCCTGCCTGTGTGCAGCAAGAGAGGAGAGAGAGACGCTTCCAGAGGAGCCGCTGACGCTCTTAACTCTCAGCAGTAAGTCACTAAAAGGGTCTGAAGTCGGGGGCTGTTCCGAGAACATTCTGGGCTGTAGCCTCGGACACCCAGACCAACTAAAGGGCCTGCATGGGCCCCTTTGGCCCGCAGTTTCTCTGCACCTCCAGATACGCTGTTTAATGAAGGCACTCAGCCCAAACGGGGAGAGGTTTAAATATGGGATTGAGCCCATCGATTAAGGAAAAACATTTGGCCTATCTACTTGTTCATTGGGTCAGTTGTTACTGTCCAAAACGCACGTCGGCACAGCGGGACAAGGCTCGGTAAGCCAGAAGGCCAGTCCCTGATTCTAAGGTCGTGATAAACATGGAGATCTGAGATATGACTTCAAAATAAATAAAATTTTTGCCTGATTTTATTTATAAAACAGCCTACTCTGTGGCTAGCAGGTATGAAATGATCTTTACAAAATGATTTGTAAAGACCCAGTCCTGTAGGTGCAGCATAAGTATAAGGAAAACATTGCTGCCTAAAGAAACATAATGATATAATAATTTAATAATGGATAATTTTACCCTCTCAGCTTGCAAATAATTTTGACACTTGCAAGAGAGACTCAAAAGTTTGAGCGTTGTGACGATGTAATCACAGGGTAGGGAACCTGTATTAACTGTGTTACAGCTCGATTTTAAATAAAGGCAAAATACAAAGTGTGTTTTCAGCAATAACTGTCTGCCAACCTCCTTTATTTTAACCACTAATATGGAACATAATGGAGGATAATATTCACCCATTTCAAGCATATAACCATTTATCAAATAACCTCAATGAATCCTCACTAGGCAGCTACATCTGAAGTGGAGGAGTTGCACCAATGTGATATTTTTTATTTTATTTTTTTTAACACATGGACCCCCTGGAACTTGATACTAATTACTCCTCTTAGCGTCTCATTTTTCTCGCCCCGTCACTGCCACCTTGCACACTCCCCACTTTGCAGTTGTGTTTCTAACCCGGAGTGGCTTTTTTCGGCGGGGTCACAAGACTTTGGTTAACTCCCGTTGCCCCTCGCTGGCATCTCCAGCTCCCAATGCCAACCTCCCCTCTTAAACACACACGCGCACCACAAAAAACACGAACAAAGCGATTGAGAGGGAGTGAGTGTGAAACCAGAGCCAGTGATAACAATCTGGAGCTCAACCTCTGACCTGTCAGCAGGTCAGCACTAGACCCTGTTGTCAGGCCCTGCTCCTGGTTCTCGTGTTACAGCGTGGCCTTCCCTCATCCTCGTCCACATCGTAGCCCTTCAGTCCTACGGGGGGGGGGGTGTAAGAGGGTGCGAGCAAATGTCACACAGTTGCTTGATTGACTGTCATTCTTGTAGATTTTTAGCATCTTGGCCATTTCAAACAATAAAAAATCAGAGAGTGAAAAGGACTGAAATCGGAGTCCTACCTCATCTATCTGAGCAGTTCCCCAATAAAAAATGAAGCTCACACTAACTATCCTAACAGTTCAAAATCCCTGTTCTTTGTCTCCACAGTCTGGACTAATAATTGCGAACACAAAGCAGACTTAATAGGCAACAGTGTATTGTGTTTTTCTTTGTTCTGGACCTAATATCTGAAGGTAACATAAGATGCTTGCCTCTGATTCTTTGCTGTTGTTCGCTCTAGGTGGGAACTGGCAGCCATGACCACCAACAGCAACATCAGCAGGCCCATCTTCTCCTCCCACGGCTGACCCCGCTGAATGTGACGCAGAACCAGGACGGCTCGCTCTGTTTCAGGACACCGAGCTTTTATCTTTCTACTCAGCTGAGCTCCGACGGACTGTTTCTGTTTTTGTAGAGGTTGGACCTGTACGGGATTTTGTTTTCCACGTTCGCTTCAAGTGAATACTCGTTGACGACCAAAATATCCAGCTCGCGACTTCCTCGGACGCCGTGAGCGCTCTCGCGCCTACGGATATTGTAACGCTGGTTATGTGTGACAAACTGTTAACACCCGGTCACCTTTTTGTCTTCTTTCTAGCCTCTCTAGAAATCCAATCAGCCTATGATAATCATAGACTTCTAATCATACGCACAGGAAGAGACAAGGACTTCAGCCAAAGGTCTTGAGAAGTGAACTCTTTGTTGAGGATGTCGTGCCGATCTCCCCTAAAAGACAAATGTGAACGCTGTGTTCTTGCTCTTAAGAGACTGAGATAATCACGAGTTTGTGTGTCTTGCAGCTCCAGCGTGGTCATGAAGCCATGGGAAACTAGCACGGCCATTTGCAGAAAATCAAGCAATGTGGAGAGGAACGTGGCTAACTTATTACTTTGGTGTTAAATGCAAAGGAGCGTGAGTATTGGGGTATGTAGTGTTACGCTTGTGAAAGGTTCTGTTTGACTGACTTTCAATGCTCACCTTTTACCCGACTTCATCACAACCTCCTGCTCTCAAGCGTCTCAAAGATGATTTGCAGAGCGACTGAAATGAGCCGTTTGTCTGCCTTGTAAAACAATCAAGTTCATCTACCTCCCTCAATAGCGTGTGTCATTGAGTCTTTGGTAAGACTTTCCCCATACATTAGACATCCCCCCCCGAAAAAAAAGAAGCCTTTTTTCATCCGTATTTGCGGTCGTCTGTCGTATTCTTCCAAGGAATGTCGTAGCGTCGCCGGAAGAGTGCGACTCGCCTGCCCCTTTACCTCGCAGTTTTGTTTTTTTCAGTGCCAAACGTAGAGGGGAATCATGATGCGGATATATACTGTGTATGTGTGTGAGCACGTGGTCCCGTCTACACATGACCCTGTCCCCCCACCCCCCTGCTCCAGAGATGGTCACTAATATGCACCATGTAGTTGTTCCTCTTACAGACAATCCTGCAGCGATCAGACTCTCCTCGTGACCCCCCTCCTTCGCGGTGCGGTGAAAATAACAGGAAAGTGTGTGTGTGTGTGTGTGTGTGTGTGTGTGTGTGTGTGTGTGTGTGTGTGTGTGTGTGTGTGTGTGTGTGTGTTCGAGTGCGAGCAAAGCTAAACCTGAGCAGATGTTATAAAGGGCTGTTATTAGAATACACACTCGCCACACAGCTGGAAAGTGACTTGGGAGAGCTCAAATTGGGGATGTTTATTCAGGGTGTGTGTTTTTATTCTAAGCTCACATTTTAGAACAAAACTTTGGAAACACAGTAGTGGTGGAGGTGGCGGTCTTTTTAAAAAAAAAAAAAAAAAAAAAGCTTTTATCTCCACTTACTTTAGTTAAATGATAAGGTTGGTGATATTCTATAGTTTTGAGGAAGTCAACAAATCCCATAAACAGACCTACAATGTCTCAACATTTCTGAACCTCCGTCCGTGGCTCTTATGTGTTCATACTCAACGGAACGGTTCATTCATTTCCCTAAAACAAATGTTCACATTTACAGGAGTGAATACAGCATTTTGTTGAGGACGTATTTTCAGTCGAGGTACCGCAGCAGGACGGTGTATTTAGGATCGACTCAAAGCAAACTAAAGTGGCCATGTTCATTATGAAGAAACGTGTCTCCCGGTCCAATGCTGTGGCTCATTTATATGTTTTAGGGCAACAGTTGAAGTGTGTGGAGGGAGATGTCTCAGGCTTTGAAAACACAGACGAAACTTGCTGGATCAATTGGTCTTTTTAAGGGATTTAGAAAAATACAGAGTATCACCAAACGTATCCTTTGAATGTTATAAGTAATAATAATAAGTAATAGGGCATGACATTGAAATGAATGACTTGGTGAGGATGAATACACGGGCAAAAGGAGTTTTATTTATATTGCCTATTTGTTTTGATGTGAATAGGAACTGTTACACCACCCACTTGTGAGCTGCATCGATGCTGTTCAGTCTGGTCTCTGGGGCCGCGTTTTCTGTCCGGCCGAATACTCAGAATTGAATCTGTATCGGGCTCTGATTAGCTGGCTAGAAATGAAACCCCGCAGGTCTCCGGGTCCCAAACATCAGGACTGGATAACACTGACCTACATGGTAAATGTTTACAAATCTGTGTGTTTCATGTGAAGCAGTGTAAACAATCTTAAACGCAGGTCGAAGTCACCAAATAACTGCACTAAAGCCAAACCGTGGCATGACGGGCCTTACAGAGAGGAGCCATGCCGATGCTGCTTTTTGCCTACGTAGTGTTCCAGAGTTTGAGACGTTCGTCTGCCCGAAAACAAGTCTGCATTTTGTTTCTAGACCGGCGGTGCCAATGCGACTCGTGCCCTGTACACAAGCGTGGACGTATCGCACACCTCGATACCCCTCAGTACCCCGGTTACTCAGACGACACATCCGCTAGTGCAGTGAAACCACAGGAGAGCTAATCGTGTGTTCACGAAAATACAATAAATAGTGGTGAACAAATCAAGCTCTTTAATGGCCATCGGCAAACACATTTTTTTTTTTTTTCTTTCTTCTAATGTGTGGCGTGGAAGTCATTTTTATTTGGTCCTTGTTGCGTGTGAAGATTATCGGTGATGGTATTTACAGTCGAGAGCATTTCAGGAATGTGACGAAGTAAATATTAAGTAAGTGGCAATGATGACTGGACACTATGGTCAAAAATACAATACCTGCACAACAAATCTCCTCAGTGATGGTCACTCAAGTAAGGCTGTTGATGACGAGGGGATTTAGCCTTAGACATATTGCCGTTGCGTTTTAAATTGCAGTGATTTTAAACTGCCGTTATTTCTCATTTGACTTTGTGAGGAGGCTTCAGCAAACAGTAACTCGGCAGGGTGACAGTATTTGCCAACCTAGAAGAAAAAAACCCCTACTTCTGTCAACGGAAGGGCATCATTAAATTAGAGCGCACACTCATAAAGTTATTGTGTGAGCAGTCATTATTTGGCGAGCAGACAGAAGTACGTGACCAAACTGATTTCATGCTGAGAAGTGTGTTCTGTATTTAGGGCTCATAGTATCTGGTTGTAATAATTCATAAACAAAGAATGCGTGGAGAAAAAAAAGAGAACAAAGTATGGAGTGTATTTGGATTCGTTTTACAACTGTGCAGGCTCCCTATGCTTATTGTTTTTATTTTATATTTGTCACCGTTTTCAGAGGGGACTGTCAAGGTTGGTCAGGACTTCCTGTGCAATATGCTTTATTACTGTATCAATAATAAATCTGAGACAATTTGACTTGTTCAATGTGTGTATCCATTTTTTTATGTGTTCTTCATTCAGTTTCTTTACTTACTCTGTTGGCAGAAGTTGTTTATCTTAATGATGATTTCTGGAGCTGTATGGGTTTGATCGGAACTCAACATGTGAGTCAGTGTCGCTGTCGTTTGCAATCTGATGTATCACAGTCGAGGTTGGAAAGGCAAAAAAATATGTTGCCTGTGCAAATGGACTCTACACAACTGCAGGCCAAGGGGCCAGATTTGGCCCCAGAAACTATTAAATGGTGTGCATGTTGTCCAGTCAGTGGAAGACCTAAATGAATGTGACCTAAACGAGCCAGATGTGCTCTGATGTCCTACTCTTTATCTCTGGATTTCGGCCTCCTCTCGGAGCTACTGTATGTGGCTCTTAATAGTCAGCAGGTCTTTGAACCCTGCAGTTCCCCAGATTCTGCTTCCCGCTGACATCCAGAGAGCTGGATCTGCCCCAGCCAGCCTGTCTGATAGCCCTCATCGTCTACTTCAGTGGGTACTCTGAAGCCGTGGTGCCACTGGCTGTCAGACTACCTAATGGGACGTGTGCGGCTGCTTTTGATGGGGGGGGGGGGTCCCCATCATTAGAAAGTGTCTCACCCTGAACCCCCAGCTCCAATCTTGGCCTCTGCTGCCAGTGGCCGCCTGGCAGTTTGTTCCCGTCTGTCACCAGCCCCGTGCTATAAAGCCAGCGTTATCTGCGGTGTTAAGTGCAGGCCACAGACGGAGGGTCAGCTTAAAGTGAGGCAGCAGAGACACCCTGTCCCGCCTGGCCCCGCCGCACACAGGAAGCGGGGCTGCGCTGGGTCCCCCTTGTCTGGCCCCGGAGCCCTGGCTCGCCCAGCGACGCAGGCGCTAATGCAGGGAGACCCTCGGCCAAATGACTCTCTAATTTCCCCTCAGGACTCAAGACGATCCCAATGGCCCTTGAGAATCAGACTGAGGATTTGTTCTGAGTGATTTGTTTTGTCTTGTTCCCCCCCCTCATCCCTGTGCAATGCCCTCACTCAAGTTCTAGTTCTCTGCCTCCAACGTTGTTGCGGCCACCAAATTGGGGATTTGAGAAAAGAGGCATTAACGGAGCACAAGCCCTCAGAGGATAGAAGCTGTGGCTGGAGAACGTAAACTGATGGAAGAGAAAGCAACAAGCCTGAGAAACGGGGCAATTTACTTCTGTAGTTTTCATGAAAACCTCCAGCAGGATGAGTTGCATCCTTTTGTAAGATGCAGTGTGCCTTGCTCATGCTTTGTGCGGCCCTTAATCTACTCCTCTGCTAGAAAACTAATTTCGTGTGAGCCTCTCAGTGAGTCACGCTTGCAGACCTGTAGCTTAATTTCCTTCCAACAGGGGTTTAATTGAGTGACTAACACACACGCAGTTAAAGCCCTGTGAATACAGACTGCCATAGCTGACGGCCTCGCAAATCTGTTGAGAAATTAAACAATGATGCATCGGGCTGGTTTTCTGCTGAGATTTGAATGACGATGGCAATGCAATTTAAAATGTGTTAAACTTGTGTGTGTGTTATATGACATATTTTAGAGTAAAAGTGTTAAGTAGGTATAGATTATATGGCCTTGTAAACCATACCATGTTTCACATGTCTGAGTTATTCTCTGAACTTCTCACACTGTTTCATTTCTACATTATATAATATATTATGTAATATTTCACCCCAAAAAAATCAAAGATGAGCCAAACATCCAAAAATTAAAACAGATCTTCTTTTTACCTCTCACATTAATCATCTCAGGACCCGCAGATTTATATTGCGACTCCTTTGAGGGGCATGGCCCTGTTTGGAAACACTGGGGTAAACTACAGTCAAGTCCTCGAGCTCCTTCAACATTGATGCATCAGTGTTAATAATGCACTTTGATATATGTCATTTATCACGGGGAACATTTTTATGCCGATTTCACTTTTGATACTTTAAGTACGTTTAGCTGGTAATACTGTACTTTTGCAGTAGGATTTTACTTCCAGAGCTCTTACCTGCAATGGAGTATCTTTAAAATAAGTTATAAGCGTCGAAACTGGTTTAGTATGTCTACCATTTTAAAAAAAAAAAAAGAAAAAAAAAAAAGGCAGGGTTGTTTTCAATCAACCAACCCCTCTGCCGGGGAAATAGTCCCCCTGTGTTAGGGTGTGTTTGTTGGCTAATAACGTAAGAATGAATTCGTTAATAATGAATAGTCACACAAGCCTTGAAGCGCTCCATTCATATCAATGCGCAGAACATTGTGCGTCGGTGCCAGGTGCTGTTGATTGGCCATTAAGTCAGTATTTTCATATGATCTAATTAACACAACAGTCGCACTCATTACGGACCAACACCTGCAGACGGTTGAAATTATTCGCTATACACGCACGTGAAACATCACACTTATAGCACAAACACGCGCACGCGCTCGCGTCTCTGCTTCATTAATGCCGTCTCACATCTTAACCGCTTCAAGTCGCCCAATGGGATCCTGCATCCGATCTAACGGGTTATTTTTAGGGCTCACTTCACTAACTATAACCCGCCTCCATCGTTTGTCATTGCGTCACAACAAGTAACATTATCCTATTGTTTTTTTCCTTCTTCCCCACCGACTGAGTTGGTTGAGAGGTGTCAGGTTTTTGGGGAGCTATAAAAGGAGGGACGGGCAGAACGGCTCGACACTCTTCATCCAGACCTGAACCCGCAGAGGTACGAGATCTTTAACCAACATAGTTTCTCCTCAAATGATGCCAGTATCCTGGCTCAACATTATTTCATCCGTTTTTACTCTCATTGTGTGTTTTTTAAAGGAACATCTCAACTTGTTCTTCACACTTCCTGTACCCCCCCCTCTGAGTAAATCTGTATGCTTTACTTTCATTAGGTGGCTTCATCGGCGTCAAAATGACTATTTGGTGCAACTCCTGCAAGTGTCACGTCAGCGCTCCGTGCGCCTTTCATCTTGTGCCCGAGGATCACCGCAGCTCTTTCTGCAGGAGGTTCAGGTCAGTGGCTCCTCTTCCTCTCGGCTCCACGTCCTCTAGTGGCTGAATCAACACATGGCCTTTTAGAAAATATTTCAGACCCCGACTCTGCTGCTGCTGCCTGCAGCGCGCGCACTGCGGGGAGCACTTAATCCAGTTTTCTCCCGTCTGCAGCCTGGTGCTGTATGTGATATACTAATCCAGCAACAAATAATGCTGGTACTGCATTTTTTTTAAAAACAATTTAGCCTCTCTCAAGATGCTTTGGTGGGAATTTACAGTGAGTCAACTTTAATTGTGTTATATTCAATATTAGGCTTAAAATCTAGTTCTAGTGTGAGTATCCCTAAAAAAAAACAACTCAAACATATGCTCTCAATTACATAATTTGAATGGATCTTTATTGTTATGATGCCGGGGATACAAACTGACAGAATTCTGCTCTTGTGGCACTCTCTGTATCCTTGTGACGTGGGGCTCCCGGCTCCGAGGACACCCACTTTATAAGGCAATGAAGGGAGCAGCAGTAGCCCAGCCTCCCCTTTGTGTGACGCCCACGCTGAAGCCCTGGCAGCTATAAAAACCCCCAGGCTCTCTGTGGATGGGCCCAGACAGATCCTGATCACACAGACAAAGTCTACCGAGAGCCCTCATGTCTGCCGCAGACACGACAGCCTCTCATATCAGCAGTTTCCATAGGAACCCTCGAGGAAGAGACACCGGGCTGAATTGTGGCAAAAAGAGGCTCCATCAGTTCAGGCCAATTACTCCTTTTTTGCTTTCATTTGATTTCTTTTTTTTATTTTCCCACACTGTCGTCGAAGAGGAGGGTTACTTCAGACAGATTTTTTTTTTTTTTTTTTTTAATGTGGCTGCAGACAAAACTTTGTCTCCCTAGATTTAGTTTCCTCAGTTATCTTCCAACCCCTGACCTCAGTGACCATGGTCTCTCACAGATCCACCAAAGGAGCGTCCAAAGCCCGGCGGGACCACATCAATCACGAGATCAGGAACATGCGCGCCCTGTTGCCCATCACCCAGGAGGACCAGGAGCGCCTCTCCTACCTGCACTCCATGGCCGCCATCTGCGCCTACATCAGGAAGTCTGTTCTCTTCCAGGGTAAGTCTTCACACTCCCGTTAACAGTCATTCTTTCATATCTTTGAACCTCTCATCTACATGCTGCCTGCGTCGCTGTCAAACTAAATGTGACTAAGTTTGCGGCACCGCAGGGACCGCATCAAAGATGAAACCTGCAGAGATGCGTAGAGTGTAACCAAGGCTCACCTCACTCGTTCCTCCCTCAGGACTCCCGGCTGGGGCCAGATCACACTGCTCTCTGCCATACGAGGCCTTTCTTCAAGCCCTGCACGGCTTCATCCTGGTCACCACCGCACAGGGGAGGCTGGTCTACGTGTCCGAGAATGTAGATGAATATCTCGGCCTGTCCATGGTGAGTCGATTTGGACAGCTACTGTTTTAGTTTGCGTCACGTTGGGCTTTCATGTTTTGTATCCAACTGTGAAATAAAAAAATCGAATTTTTCCAGATGGATGTGCTTCAAGGAGACACTTTCTACGACTTGGTGGAACGCTCTGACATTGATATTGTGAAATCAAACCTGGACATTGAACACAACTCGCCATCAGGTAACTTTAAAGACTTTAACATCACGTGTAGCATGTAAAACTAGGAAACACTTGTTTCATTGTGTGCCATGAATTCATTATAATTCATAGTAAAGTTTATCCAACGTTTTGCCATCCTACTCGTACTACTGAAAGACTGAACTGATCCGTTGTGTGTGTTTCCTCAGAGAGGAGCTTTATATGTTGTATGCAAACCTCCAAGGCCTTCAAGCTGCAACACGGCAGCTGCTGTTCCATGACGGTCAGAGGGAGCTTCCAGTCGTTCCCTGAGTCGTGGTCGTCCTCCTGTTCAGTCCGTCCCACCGGCCAGCCTCTGTTTGTGGCCCTCTGCACCCCCACGGTCGACCGCCTGCGGAGCTCCGGCTCCCACTCCTGTGACAGCTTCGACAGCGTCCACAGACTCGACATGACCTTCACTCAGCTGTCGGACAGGTATATCCACAGATCCCCCTTTAAACCGATATAACCACAATGTTCTCCTGCTGGTCACTGACAAACATTTTCTTTCCTTTTCAGCGTTGTATATTTTTTGGGGTATTCGGCAGAAGAAATGACCGGTCGATCGTGGTACAGTCTTGTCCACCCTGAAGATCTTTCTTTGAGTGCAGATTCTCACAGAAGTTTATGTAAGTGTACGGTCTATTGCAGGAAAACGTGTTTTAACACCGGTTGCATTGTTCATTTCCATAAAGTCTTTTCAAGTTTGCATGACAATAACCACTGATGTTTCTCCCCTGTCCCGTCCAGTGCGGGCAGATGAGGGCTTCCAGGTGGAGATGGTGCTCAGACTCCAGTGCAAGGATCTGTCGTGGACCTGGATCTACATTCGAGCCAACAAGGAGTCCGAGTGCCAGGGCGTGAGCTGCACCAACTTCATCATCAGGTATGACGGACTTCACTTCTCCAGCAGACCTGAGCCCACAGTGCAAGACACCAGTCCATGTTGTTCAAGTCGCGAACGTCGTCGTAATACATTTGCTTTGCTCTTGCAGTGAAATGGAGGCCCGATTTCTTCAGAAGAAAATCAGCAGCGAGGCCTTCGGGCCATCGCTTCTGGCAAATTGTGCAGCTCAACAGGCGCCTCACACTCTGACCTACAGCAACACTAAATGCTTTAAAAGACAGAGGACGTCCAGCAGCCAAAGCGAGGAGCCAGGTGCTAAAGCTAGGAGGGAGACCGAGCAAGACGTATGCTATGTGGCGTGCGCCTCCTCCCAAGGCGATGGCTCACCTGCTCCCTCGGGAGACAGCCCTGCTCTCTTCACCCCTCCGTACAGCCCAGCCTCCTCCAGCTCCACTCTGCAGCAGGAGGAGCTCAGCCATGACCTCTTGATGGATGTGCATGGATACACAGATCAGCTGCTGTCCTCCCCCGAGTGCTCTCCCTCCTATTACTCCTACCCAGAGGCAGGGCTCACCTGTCACCAATCACCCTCCGGCTCCCTCGCTTCCGCCGCTGAACAGAGATTTGACCGGGCAGCCTTCGGCGTGCTCGGCGCCCGCTCTCCAGCCTCCTCCTCCTCATCACCGACCTATGATTTCCAAGCTTGTCCGGCCGACACTCGATTAGTTCCAGACTGCCCGTCCGTGTCGGACATGTGCGAGAGCCCGGCGGACTGTGCTCTGCATCACGACGACTTCAGCCTCCCCGAGCAGCCACAAGGGGGCGGCCTCGTCCAAGTGCATCATGTCCCCTACCACGTGTTGCCCGCATATTCCAGCCTCCTCACCCCCAGCCAATCTCCTACATCATTAGAGATGCCACACTACAGCGAGAGGGAACAGGCAGAGATCAGTATTCTGGCTCAGCAGATCTCCTCCCTGGCCAGCAGCTTCGCCATGTATCACACGCACAACCAGTTTCAAAATGCGTCCCGACCCACAACCACTAACACCCCGCCCTCAGTCTGCGACTGGCCCCATCACCCTCCTCTCCCCTCAGCCCTTCCTCTGAAGCGCGAGCTGATGCTTGATGACGGCGTGTTCGACAGCATCCTGAAAGACCTGGACGCGAGGAAAGCCAGCACGTCGTGCCCCGGCGTTGCAGCGTACAGCTACCAGCAGGGCTCGCTGCGCTGCAGGAGTGGGTCCCATCAGTCGGAGCCGGAGTCCCTCGGCCTCTCCCCGACCATCGCAGAGGACCCGCTGCCTGCGGAGCAGTTCACCGCCATGGATCCCTTCAGTTTGCCGTTGGGACGCCATGACCGAAACACTGGGTTGCATCAACTCAACCACTATATGCAGAGTCGCCTTCAGCAAGGTAGTTTACACCAAAACAACAGCCACTGATCTCATGATGCTCCTTTGGTATGATCACTGTAGTTTACATTTCATTAACATTGTTCTCTGTCTCCTTTCAGATGAACTTGCAGAAGAAAACCTGTACTGAAATAAGTCTGTGACTTACTGTACTACCACTTGTATGACATATTGTCAGGGCAATCTTCCTTCCGCTGGATTCAAAGACGAGTGCGAGCAAAGACATTTGGAGGACATCGTTGCTGAGACGCCGTTCCCTCAAAAGACTTCTTTCTGAATGTAGAAAAGCAACTAAAGTATATAACTTGCTCTTCAAGACTTCAGCTTTGTCTTCATGTCTCAACACTGCTGTCGACTGTTTTATGTTTTGCTTGTGTCTTATATTTTATGAAAAAGGTACTTTAAAAGAAAAAAAACAAAAACGTGTCTGACATCACTTCAACACTGAAATGGAGGTATATTTTTCTTCTAATGCTGAGTGACCACAGTTTACTATTGAGCACTTTATCAATGCCATTGCCACAAGGATTTTATAAATGAGAAGGCGTGCTGAATTTAAAGGAATATTACCGATATTCCAAAGCTACCTGGATGAGCTTTAACACATAAATCATTCAAGAGCCATTTGGAAATGTTTGGTTTTAGGTGCCTTAAAAACATGAGGGGAAGACACTAATCAGTTTGCCAAAAAATAATAAGACTGTTCTTCTGTTTCTCAGTGGGACATTAATGCTTTGATGTTATGAATAAATAAATCAAGCGAGATGATGATTGTTCAACACCTACCTCAGTGGTACATGTGAATGCATTCCAAGTCTGAATTTTATGAATTAATTATATTTATTTTGAACATCACTCTCACTTAATAGTCTTAAAAATGTTTATATTTTACTACAATGTGAATCTTAAACTTAACTTTATCCATTCTACTTTTGTTTTCTTTATAGTACTGGTACTGAATGTTCAATGTTATTGCGTTATACTTGACATTTGAAATGTAAATAAATCAAATGAAAACTACATTGGGTGATGTTGATAAAATGAAGTTATTCAGCGTTTCTTCTTCCACAAAAGCACTGCAGGTGTAAAATGTACATGACTCCTGTTATGACTCCATTCATACCTTAAATGCAATCAAAACCACATTCAGTTTGACACCATTATTGCCAATACAGTAGGTATATCTGCTGGAATGAAATTCAATTTGGAGTAGTATCTTTTTTTTTTTTTTTTTACCAAAATGAAGCTTAATCCTGGATTAACAGATTTTTTTTTTAGCCACTTGGGGGCAGTACAACAAGTAGTAAACACACCATCATATGTATGGTATTATGGCTTAACAAGGTTGTTATGCCAAACAGTGCCTATAACACACCAAGCCAATACGCAGCAACAATAGCATTCACCAGCAACTTTGTGTGTCTGTGTTTGGTGCTGAGACGGTAGTGACGGTAGGGTTTATGAGAGTTTTCTTTTGTTCGAAAACATAAAGCCAAGTTGACACTACACGACTTTCAAGGTCGAGAGATGGCTGTACTGTTCACGCTACACAACTTGCTGTCTTGTAACCGGAAGTCTTGAAAGTCGTTGTGGAGCTCTGAAAACCGTCAGCGAGTGTAAAGTTGCGTAGTGTGAACTAGGAATTAGCTGCAGGCTGTAACTGACAGATGCCAAAAAGCTCCGTCGAGCTGAGGAGAGAAACACCTTTCACATGACGCTTAATAGCTTGAGCCATTGTTAATACAGAAATATTGATTAGTGCAGCTTTAAAATACACCTTTTTGTAGTAAACCTTATAACAAATGGGTCTACTGTATATTCTCTCTCTTCATCTGATTAGATGGCTAAATGGCTAAACAGCCCCAGCTCAACATCTACTGAGCTCTTCAATGCTCCATTGATTTTTACATCTTGTGGCCAATCATACCAATGAGAGCATATAAACTGTATACAGGGGAAATCAATTTCCGCCTTGGGACAAATGTGCAGACTCAACGCCTAAATAAATAGTTAGACAAAGAAGTGCATTGACTGAGTTGACTGATGGACCATGTGCACGTTTGTGGTGCACAAAGCTCACAGTCATGCTGCTGGTGCAGTGCGTGCAATGCAGAGCCCCCCATTGTTTGTTTTTTCTCATGTGGGTTAAAACAGCCACTAGGTGGAGTGATAGCTCCAATCGCCTGCCAGTAACACAGACATCAAAATGCCACTAGTATAATATTATTCAAGCGAGATCGAAAACAAGTGAAGGAGGAGTGTGTGCATGTGTATGAGTGTGTGTGTGTGTGTGTGTGTGTGTGTGTGTGTGTGTGTGTGCACCGATGAGAGCACAAAAGGACATCATTCGGTCCGTTCATGAGCAAACAGTCCAGATGCCTATTCCTATCCATGGAGACCTAATTAAGAGTGATGTCTGTTGAAGGGTACAATGGCAAATAAAATTCCTAACAAGTCCACACATCTGCTGTGTTCCAGTCCTCCTGCATCACTCAGCATTACCCGTGATAATGATTTCCCCGGAGGCACAAGGACACCAGGTCCAGGACACCAGGTCCAGGGCACCGGCGCGTTTTTGTCCACGCCAAGGAGACAGCAAAAATCCACATTTTCTCTTCACCTGCACACAGTGAACACTCCCAGCAACCCCACGTCTCTGCACATCACGGACCACAACAGCAAAGACAGCGTGCCAGTTTTCCGTAGCTGTGGATGATTGTTATTAGATCTGACATGGCTGTGTGTTTCTTTTACTTAAAAATCAATGAAAACATGATTCAGATTATTATTACTAGTGGTAGTAGTAGGCCTAGATCAGTAGCTGTTTGTGTGTGACAACGACGTCAAATATCGCAGGCAGCTCTCCTGCCGCCTCCCTGGTATTAAATTGAGATGATGTGAGATTAGATTAACAAACCCATATGCCTCACAGGAAGAGCTTCAGGAGCCTACCAGTGGAGGTGAGCGATGAAATGCATCTCGAATGATTCATATCTGAGATCTGAGAGCGGCATTGGGGCTGAAGATGACACCACACAGGAGAGCTGACAAAAGAGAAACACAGGCAAAACTGTCATCTGCCCTACTTCAGTAGCTTCTAAAGTGCTTTCTCAGGTTGGATGGCTGGAGGGCGGATGCTGAGGGAAAAGCGCATCAGTGCAGTTAAACAGAGCAGCTCATGGATGGGATTCTTTTTCAAAGCCGTGCCTCCCACAAGCAGCCAGCTCTTCATATCCTGCCTCACCGGTGGCTTCTCGCGAATGATTACCTCATTTACTTGTGAGAAAATACTCTCCAAATTGAAACTCTCACTGATTTCAGACAACAGGGCCTCAGGTGGCGCTGCCGTGTCTTCGTTTATTTACCGGCTTTATGCTTTTATTGTCACTGCAGCCGGGCTTGAGGGCTCTATTGAAAGCTTATCTCAGGGTTTACATTTATTCTGAAATAAATGAAGACGTGGAAAGCCAGAATGCGATTTGTCTATTTTGCTCCGGTGGATTGTTTGGCAGATGGAAGCGATGACACAGGCGATAGCCACCAAGGTCGCGGAAAGATGTCGCGCGCAGTCACGAGGGACACCTGAGCTGTTATTGTATGTTAAACTGAATCTGCCTTTTCATCCTGCTCAGTGTGTAATTCATTTTCTCCCTGTCTCAATTGTTTTGGCTGCATCAAATTTCCATGTCTATACCGTTGTTGTCCCACTTTTCAAAAGAGCCACCTGACTGGTGTTGGTTCAGTCAGCACACACTGACACAGTAATTGGGTTAAACAAAAAGGCCCAAAATAGACTGCAGCCTGTTCCTTCCGGACCTCTCCTGTTCCTCCACAGCTCCACAGCTCTGATTGAACACTGGATCCCAGTCATGCAGAGTCAATACATCCCTTTTGATATTCACGAGAGAAAGGCCAGCCAACCAAGGAGAAGAATACAAATGGCGTCCAAACAACAGAGACCTACGTGCATATGAATGTTTGATTTATGTTCTACCGTTCTATCTCTGGGAGGAGTTTGCTGCTTATGGCAAAGCGCCAGTCCACAGAAGAGACATAAGCATCCTGCTGTGTAAAAATGTGGTTAACACATCATCCTTTGTTGATGGAAATTCTTGTGTGTTGGAAAAAACATTTTCTCATGTAAGTATTTCCATTAGGGACTTTAGAATACGTGCCTGGATGTCGTATTGTGCTTTACAGCAATTCCAAACAGATTGCCATGGGTTTACGTTTGAGTTCTTTTTTTCTGCACAAGCGGTCCTGCTGGTTTTATGGAGGGAAAGTCTCTCAAAGTATTTTGTATTTGGCCCCCACATGCTCAGCATTCAGAAAAATGAATGCTTTGTACTGGAATTCCAATACACAGCAGCACACGGGTGGATCTCTGCGAGATACACTTTGATTTATCAAGCCCCGCGGTTCCTCGTGCAGTATTGGGGGTATTTTCAGTAATTGATGAAAGTGGCAGTGATTGCTAGTGATTACCCGCATGTGGTCGCACAGCCAGAGGGCCATTACATACGTATACCATCCATATAGGGGGGAGTACATCATAAACATGTTTATCTCACCGCTTGTGTAGAATCCCAGGGGCCAATATAAATATAGTTGAAGAACTGCATCTTATGAAAGGCTCAGAGAGGCTTGGAAATGATTAGAGGGCAATTATGTGAGATGCGATTGTAAATTAATTTATCAATAAATATAATCAAATGAAAAGGAATTTATAATTGCCAAATAATTGATGCACAGCCTAATTATAAGTTAGTATCTAATTTAATGACGGAATGTGTTAAATCAATTTGATGACCCAGTTTCTAATGGGGAAATAAACCGCTGAATATTTCTTCAAAGGCTGATGGTTGGTCAGGGGGGCTAAATTACCAATCCTGCTATGGCGAAACTATAACCAGCCGTACTCTGAGTACTCGTGGCCTTTGTTGGTTGGATTGGTTAGGTTTAGGCATGAGGAGTGAGATAGGAAAGGATACATCAGAGGCAAAGTCGGGCTGGTCATTTCTTTGCCATAGTAGGAAAAACAAAAAAAGGCAAGAAGGCATTTTCAATATGCAACTTTAGCCTAAGTGATTTGTGTTCGCTTCAAGTCTTTCCTTTGTTTTGCCTCCAGCATTGTGACATAATCAGGACGTTGGCACTAAGATGGTCTATATGGCGCCCGTTCTCACATGGCAGTTTACAATGATAAATAATGTGGGCAGCATTACTGTTTGACAGTTTTAGTTATGCTTATTCAGAAAAAGGTACACAAATTCGGCTCTGAATTTGGAGAAGGCAAATGTCAATTTCTTGAGAGCTGAAATGACAACTTGCTGGCAGATTTTATCGCTAGCTCTATAAGTTGGTCGAAAACGCTGTCTCTGGCTGACTCTAGTGTTTCCAGATGACTTGTGTCAAAATACGAATCCTGTAAAAGGGTTCCTACATGGGCTGCTGCAACAGACTTAGCAAAAAGTTAGCATCCTTGCCAGTTGATGATCCATGTAGAAGACAAAGAAACAGCATTGTCCTTGTACTGCAGTGTCCCACTCCTAAAAACATGTATATTTTAGCTTGCCAAAAGCATTTGCCAAATGCAATGCTATCTCTGCTAATGGCTCAAGACGCTAAACTTCTCTAAGTCCATTAGAGGCTAGTGATATACTAACGTGGCCTTGGAAGTATAGCAATGCTCAGTTACGGTGTGCAATAAGCTAGTTAGCAGGACATGCTAACGATTGTAGCTTTCGTTAGGAAGAAATACACACTGCTTAATCCATCCCTGACATTTTTGCTCTTGTTTTGTTTTTGAAAAGCAAGAATAAGAGACACACTCCTCCAACTCCTTAAATCGGCTCGAATCAGTATTTTTACAACAACAAAATCAAATGTTTTTGTGAAAACAATCCGACAATCCCACTGTGCTGTTATACGGCCGCAACAGGCAACGACAAAGCTCTCTGTCATTACTGCTCACTGTGGACTCAACTACCTGCTCAGCACCGAACCGCAGATAGACACAGTTAGACACTAGCTGGTGGACAAATTGCATTTAGCATTAAATCAGCACTTAGCAGCTAAAGAGACAGATATTTTCCTCAGGAGTTGTCGAGACCAAAAGCAGACATAAAAGAGAGAGAATATTGGATTTACAATCATCAGGAGGACAGAAACACGACATAAAGATGATGATGA